TTCTCCTCTCCTTCCATTAGTAGCTGGACTCTATTAATTTCATTTGAACTATGGATTGAGAAAGCATTAGAAGGTCTTAGAAATTAAAGATGGAAAAAACCCCTTGCTTGGATATCCCATCTGGCCCTTACACTGGCAGTATATGAGTCAATATTTTACAATGAAAAAGAAATACAATATTCTGGCAGACTATTTTCTACAAGCAAACTTATTTATCTTCATATTATTTGATAACAGTACATTTCTTTATTTTTTTCCTCCATATATCCACAGCATGCAAGCATGTTGCAATGAAGGGTGTTCATATTTTATTATAAATTTTCAGGTTTTTTTTATAACTCGATCATCAGATTATGTATTACTAGAAAATTGGTTACTAGTTTTAGTGACCTGTTCTAGCATTGTTTATTCTCTCACAGTCGATGACGCTTTTCATTCTGTTTTTAAAGACTTATTGTGGTCATATCAAATAAACTTAAATTTTTACGCAGAAAATAAAAGCAAGAAAATACTTGCAAGAAGTGTAAATATTATGCTTATTTGCTTACTAGGGCCTTAAAAAAAGATCTCCAAATCATGGTGCTGTGCCTTTAAAAAGTAAAGTTCCAATAAAATTCCATTAACTATTTTCAAATGTAGCAATCCTCCTGTCCAGCTGTGAAAAGTACTAGATGATACTTATTTGCCATTTGTGTTATTTACGGTCCATGACTTTTATGGTAACTGGTTCCTATTATTGGTTTCTATTAATGTAAAACATAAGTGAACATAAATGAGGCGTGAATCATTTCTTTTTATTAGCCCCACAGTCTTCACTCAGTGCTTGCAGTAACTCCAGCTGTGACTTGTTAGTGATAACCTATTTAAAGAAGGATATCTTTAAGAATAAAAGCTGTGATTAGGATTCTTTGTCTGTTCATAGTTTCAGAAGGTTTCTCTAGTTCATTGCAGGATCAACAATGATGAAAATAAAATAAAAATTAATTAGCAATACTTCTAAATCCAGAGTTGCCACTAAACTATCCTGAGCGTAATGTGGCACTAATTATACTCCAGTTAAGTTCTTACTGGTTAGTACTAAAAGCAAGACATAGGAAACATCACTTTGACAGCACAGGAAAGGACTTCCTGCTGCTATTTATCTGTGCTGTTAAATGGTAGATGCTGATATGATCAGTTATTAAACAATATACGCTTGAAAACAGATACATATGTGTATAAATAGACTTGTGAAAGAATTATTAGTTTGCTTTTTTATTTTAAGAATAATTAATGGGGAATTAGATGTTTCAAAACTGGTCTATACAGTTATATTATTGAAGTTATTAGTTTGAATTGTATAATAACAATTATATTTTAAATCATTTATGAAGTTCCTTTCCAGGTAGCTTTGTAGTTAAAGCATTATTTATCCCATGAAAAGGAAAACACTTAAGCTTTCTGCTTTAGCAGAATCTAGATGCCGTTAATACTTGTGTATCAAATTTTATTTCACCAATATTTTTTCTTAAGAAAATCCAAGTTTTCCTAATCAGTTCTAACAATGTATTGCTTTAAAATAATAACTACTTATTAGTAGTTAAATAAATCTGGAGTGCACATTTCTCATCCTTAGCTTTAGGGCATTTTATCAACCTTTGTGTTGTCTGTAATTCTCTATCAAAATGAACTGCTTTAATTATTTTGGAAGAAAAATCTTGCTATACTTCCCAGACACTGTGTGTCCTCTTTCATCAGTGATGCGTCATGAATAAGAGAAGAAAATAAAAGAACTGAAACCCCACAATAAAGCACATTATCCGATACCTTTTAGGGGCCTTTCCGTGATACCGCTGAGGTATTGCGGCAGCGCTACAAGCCTTTGGAAACAACCTTGCGAGTGGCAGCATCAATCAATTCACCACTAGAGAAGGCCAGAGAGGAAATGAAAAGGGAGGAATGGAGAAACCGTATACATGACAATGAGTAAGTTCTTTGTTTTTTCTTATATTGTTATGAGATGTTTTCTTTACTCCGTTGCTTTCAGAAACCTTTCATGCCTGACAAAATGAAATGTCAAACCTGACAGCTTACTAGCAAACATTCTATGTACATACTTCTAAATTCTGTGTCCTTAGATTATAAAGTGTTCAGGGCAGAGACCCTATCTTGTAATTGTGTAACATCTGCCATCCATACCTGCGAATCTATAGAAGAACTTGTAATAATAATAATATGAGATGCAACAGATGGTCTTAGTGGGAAATAAGAAAACAAATGCAAATTCTGTTTTGCCACATGCACCTTGCCAAGGGAAAAATACTGTTTCAGTCTTCGTATTCAGGGAGCTTACAGTCTATGGCAGGAAAAAATGGTGTTGCATGCCAATGAGACTTGCTTTCTCTCCCAGTAGACTACCAAAGCTCACTTGGAAGGGAAGGGAGCATATGTTGCACATGTTAGAACATGATGCAAAAACTGTAATCATCTTTGAAGCAGTTTGGTTTCCTAAGCCATAGCATCTGTAATAGTGTCAGATGGGCCAGTTCTTTTCCATACAATCCCAAATACAGACATAATCCATCCCAAAAGATTTCAGGCTTCGGTCCTAGAAGATTTAAGGCTATTGCCAAAACAGTTCCAATTCAGTTTTTATCATAATGGAATTCTTTTGTACAATCATAATGAAAGCCTATTAAGTCACTTGCTCTGACTTCACAGTTAACTAGAAAAAAATAATGTTCTGTCAACTTTTCCCCTGAATTCACTGCTCTTGGCAACCCTTTGATGCTTTAATACCAGAATTCAGGGCAGAAAGGAATCACTCTTCCTCATAAACAGGCTGAGATGCATGGATTCACTGGGACGTGCGACATTTTGCTATCTTTGTTGTGTTTCAGGCTTTTCTATCAGCTCCATGTTACCATGTATCAGCTTCAGGACTGTGACTTAAGAATACCAGAATCAATTGCATTTGCATGGTTTAGCTTTTATGGTTTTATTTGTTGGATCTTTTTTTATCACATTTTCCCCAATTTAATATTAACAGTGACTTTAAATGGAAATCCAATTAAAAAACAGTTTTGAAAGAAAAAAATCTTTTAGTTCAGCTACATTTAGGTAATGTTACCTTTTATATTTGGTGGCAAAAATGCAATATAGTACTTCTTATTCCTTTCATACCAGAACCATAACTGAGTTAACTTACAAGTAAAATCTCTTCATCCCTGTATTCATTGACTTATTAGAGAGAGGGGAAAGCAGCTTAACTTTCATGTCTCAGCTTAAATCTGGGCCAATTTTCTATTTATTTATTTTTATTTCCAGCTTCTGCTGATGAAATCTAAAAAAAACCCCACTGGATAATAATTAAGATACTACCTCTTATTTAAACTTTTCTTTCTACTGAATAAGTTTTGACTAATGCAGTCCAAGTGAGGGTGCATGATGTCCATCATTTATTGGCATGACTATATTGCCCAGTCTTTATTTGATGAGATTTACCCCAAAGATCACTGTGTCAACAGTTGCAAAAGGTCAGATTTAGTAATACGTATTTCACTGACTCTCTTCAGTAAGTGAATTGTGAAGGCTTTGTTCTTTTACGGTTTAAATTTGGAGTCTCCAATTTTGACAGATTTTAATTTATCAGGAGTCTTTGTTTACCTTGTGGGTAAGGAAGCATTTAGCATCACCCTTAATGCACAGAAGCAGTGTCCCAACACCAGTGATTCTCAGCTTCATGCACACTAAGAGCATAGGGTGTTACACATTTTTCAGGCTATGATCATTCCGTTTGTGCTTCAGATTCAACCAGCCATGAAAGGGTCACAACTGTAACCTTGAAAAGGTGATGACAGAGTTGCAGGTCACCATCAGGACCAACACATACTAGTAATGCTGCAGCCTCTGTGTGGGATGCTGGTCTCCAGGGAACAGTCAGCAAATGGTTACTCTGATTCTGCAGTAGTTTTTCCTCGACAGTGTCTATTATGAATTGACAAATTTCTGTCTCTTCCTATGTAATTGTGTACTTTGGGACTGTATCTCTTCCTGGTAGATCTTCCTATGCTGATTATTCTTCTATTTTAGAAAATAAGGAGAGAACAAACAGCAGAAGTGTGTGGCATTTGTTGAGAAAGCTTGTGTTTGCATAAAATGACAAATTGAATCATTGATCTGTACATTTCCAGAGTGAGTATCGTGTGATATCTAAGACAGAAAAATCATCAGTGCATACCTGCAATTTCTGACAACATTCAGAATTGCCACTCACCTCTGATTATCAGAGTTCTTTAAAGTGGTAATAGGTGTTCTCTAAGTGTTTCAAGCTCTGAGAAAGTTTTTGCTTCTGATAAAATGCAGAAATAATTGAAGATGTGGGCGAGGTTGGGGCAGGTGGAAGCAGTACAAATGAAAGCAAGAGAGAAATGTTGTGCTTGCTTAAAGCAACTGCTGGAATTTCCTATTTTGTAATGAAAGAGCAACTGGGTAATCTAGCCTAATAAGAATGATTCCTTTTTTTCATGTAATTGAAGCTGTTACTGCCTTATTGTGCTATTTTTCATACAAATGAAGTGATTTCCCCCTCCGCTTGGATAGGAATGACAATTGCACTCCTTTGGGATGGCCACTTAATAAACTAGTGTCTAGTGTGAGACACCAACTGCTGGATCCAGCAGATTTAGATCACTAAGCATGAAAAGTTCTTTGCTCAGTTGCATGCAGCTGAATGCTGGCCTAATTTTCCAGAGGAAAAAATATAAATTATTTTCATTAACTTTGCTGAAGTCTGTCTCACGTAATAAGCCTCATGCTTCGAAGTATACTGTTAAACATCTTTATAAAGTCAACATACGTCAGAATGGGATGCAATGTGGTGATAGAATAGGGATAAACCAGCAATAGTGTAAGGCTGAGGCTTCCTGATTTATTGCAGTCTTCCGGTGTGACATCAGGCAAGTCACCTCAGCCTCTGGCTCCCTCCGTGCTCAGTGGAGACAGCCAAGCTAGACCTAAACGCGCGGGTTCACTGGCGTGCAGCACGGTGCCAGGTTTGCACACCCTGCCTCTCACACACTGGGTGAACATTGCAGCACCAAGCTCCTCGCGGGCTCATTCTTGACCAGACGATGCTGTCCATTAGCGCCAGCTTAGGTGCTTCTGTGCTGCAGAGTGCTGTGCAGGGAAGGTACACCTACAGAGAAGCTAATGATCTAAGGATGGTCTACACTTGGAGAGCATCCGTGTTATGTGCTGCCTGGTATTAATAAAATTTTAAAAGCAAATCACTTTGCTAAAATTAAAAATTTTAAAAAATCTTTTGATTTCTGTATTTATAACATCTTTTACTGCATTTCTGACTTAGCTGCAGTGAAAATAGCTACTATTTTTTTTTGTCATACACAAATATAGCACATCTGAAAACTTTCTTCAAATTATACTTAGTTTTTCATATGCTTTGCAACTTCAGCAATTTACATATTTTCCGGACTGTTATTGTATTATCATAAACAGGGATTATCATATATTTTCAGATAATGTTTTCTTAACAATTCAACTTCTATTTGTAACTCTTCCATTTATTTTAATTACTAGCACAGTGTGCAACATTTATTAATCAGCAGAGTCTTTTTAAGTTAAAATACTAAATTAGCTAACCCCATTAACACAGAATACTCCAAACAAGCAGTAATAGGAGAGGTAGTTACTGTGCAAATCGTATTATACATGCGGGTGCTCTAGGGCACAGTTAAGCATGATTACCCTCTTTTGATCCAGTATTCCTCTGCTTCTTCCAGCTAATTTCCACTGGAAATTTACAAAGTAGCGCCTTCATTTTTCCATCTTAATTTTTCTAATGAAGTTCTGGTACTTTATAACACTGGGGATGCAGATAATAAGTCTGTGTATAATTAAGAAGTTCGAAAATTTGCTGCAGAAGAGATCTCTTCTACTTCCTACAAGAACTAGACTATGTTTTTTCCTTGCCATTTTACATTATCATAGATAGGGGTTAAACAAAAAAAGCCAGAGGATTCTTGGATTTACTGACGTTAGGATAAAAGCAATCGCTAGTTTAATTAAAAGGTATGTATTTATTATATTACTGTAGACAATATTTTAAACAATGCATTCAAAATAAGTTTCTTAGGGCAAAAACACTGCACTAATGCAAGTCTGACTAGATATGTGAAGTAAAATATTCTGTCTTTATTTTTGTAAATAATACTTTGATTTTAATATCCACTCATTATGAACTAATTAATGGCTGCCCTGCTTCAGTTGTTTTGCTATGGAAAACCATTGTGCTTTCTCCTTTGTTGCCTGAGTGAAAAGATAGACACGTTTGGGTTTGATGAAGAAATTACTTCAGATATAACCCAAACTTGAAGCTTAAAAACAATGTAATGTTTTATTTAGAGAGAGAAAAAAAAAAAGAAGATAAAAGATTCACAGCTTTCTGATAAAGCGTAGTTTGTTTGGAGTTAATTGTTCATGGTTGTGTTCAAAGTGAGATAAAATTATTTTATTTGAATTAGATCAAGACAACAAGGAATTTAATTGCTGTTGCATAGAATTGCTTTAGATAAGAACAACACTATCACACATCTAGAGTTAGGATTTTGATAGTATTTTTACTACTAAATTACAAAAAAGTACAGTACATGCAAATATGATGAAAGTTTGAAAACCCATGTACGCAGAATACTCCTAGCTCTCTGGTTTTAATATTTTGTGCCTTGTCAGTGCAGTAGGTATGGCAGCCTGGCAGTAGATCTGCAGCCAGTTCTTTCTCAGAAGCCTGGGTACAGTTTGAAGCATTTCTGGTATCAGGATTCCATGCTCGTGCTGCTAGGCTGCTGGGATTTTGCCTCTTGGGCAGGTCCACAGAACGTGCTGAAGGATGACACCATTTATTTGCTGCCATCTAAATTCAAGAAAAAGAGAATGCCTCTGAGCTGTGCCATGTTGGTAGGTACCATCGAGCACTGGGCTGCTGCCAGCCAGCAGTAGATGATGGAGCTGACAAATCCTCCTTCCTGTTCGTGCTGCTGCTCTCTCATATTGTCACAGATACCAGTGCCCAGCATCTCCTCCTGCTTCTATGGCCTTGGTTGGTCCAATTGGAAAGCCTTGAGCATGTGAAAGGCCTTTTCCATCTCCTGTGGCAGTAGTGAGAGATGTTACAATAAAAGAGACAGAAAGGAGGGAAGAAATGCTAGGTGAGAAGATGCAGGAAGAAAGATCATGAGAGGATAAAAATGTGGGGAAAAGGATTAGAAAGGTGAAATTGATGGTAGCAGGGAGGTGTAGGATAGGATGAGGGAAGAGAGAAAACAATTTTTATTTTTCTTAACAAAAGATATGTGGGGTATCTTTTGAAATTTAAATACATGCCACTAGCAGCTGTTAGGTCCAGCCTGGGCTACTAAGTTGAGGCTTTTTAAACACTAATTACGTTCAACATAGTGTGGTCCTGGCACAAGTGCATCTGGCCTTCATTACTAGTGACACTGCCAGCTTTGGTCCTGGTCCTTCCTCACACTGTGTATATGTAATACTGCTATTTGTAGAACCTGAGATAGTTCTCCATTTTTAGATCCAACTCTTAACCTGTGTCTTGAATGTATTCTTTGGCATATCTCTCATTCAAGCTTTTGTGGTGGGTGAAAAGAAATAATTTTTCATGTTTAAATTTATTTCTTCAGGGAAAGTTCACCTCCCATTAAATCATCAACTTCTGGAAAGGCTCAGCTTATACTGACTGTGTTTTACGGCACAATATAACATCAATGTGGAATTTAGTTCTTCGATCCTATGACTTCTGTCTCTGTCATATTTACTGAAAGCCTTTAAGAATTTCTGAGTTTACACTTAAATCACGAGGAAAGGCTGAAACCCAGATGTAAAAACCCTGTAAGTGAGCTTTTTGTGGAAAAAAGTACTGAGGTCTAAACTTTTGCAGTTGATAATGGAATCATACTATTGGCTGGTTTTAATTTTCTTCTCCTTCCATCACCCACTTCTGTCACATTCAGAGCACATGCTGCCATTAATTTGGGGAAAAGCTGTGTCATGTGTAAATACAGAGCTACAGAACACAATACCGTTCTTGAAGTGTTTTGAGCTGCTATTGCTTTTTACTGTTATTATTGGTTGTGGGGGTATAATGACTTTTGTATGACTCCCATTAATTTTTTTAACACAAAAAATTGTTTTAATGTTCTTTTTAATTATCTATTCACACAGAGTAATGAAAATTCTTACTTGCTTCAAAGAGACATTTAATTTGCAAGCTTATGTTCCTTTCTTGTAGTTTAGGTTGTTATCGCTATCAGGATCTGCCCACCTGGCTCTTGACAGCAGAACTGTAGACAGAAGAAAGAAAAGAAAGTTTTTACATCAGACTCCTTATTACCATTATACCCTATTATATTTTTGATGCTTTTACATTTATATTTTAATATATTTTATAATTCAATATTCTTCCTCAAAAATTCATTGTTGCTTTAAATTTTACTCAGCCATAGACATATTTTCTAGGCTGTTTGGCACATACTCTGGTTAATGATCTTAGAGGAGATATGCAGCAGAATACAAAAGATCAAATTTGTACTAAACTACATGTAGAACATACTCTTACTTGTGTCATAAAGTGTTAACAATACATGTATTTTTTTTGTTTGGAATGACGGTAAAGCATAGATTGAATATTCGTTTGCCAAAAAGACAAAGATGAACTGATCCAGAGTACAATCAAAACCTCTATGTAGGAAATTTTATAGTGAAAACTATAATAATTTACTTTATCTTCTACTTTCTTTTTTTTTCCTTCCATTTTGTGTATAAATTTTACAGACATAGTATTCATATTGAATTATGAATGCTATGGCTCAACTAAATTCTATGCATATATGGGCAAATCCCTAAACTGCTAGCCTTGTCTTCCCAGCTATCCAATCCCTTGAGAAAGCCAATTTTCTTTCATGTCTGAACAAAAGAAAAATGTACTATTAAAATGCAATTCAGAAGTGATAAAAACTGCAAGTGGAGCAGCCGGCTCACAGCACCTTCGATGTATTCTCTGGGACACTGGGGCCACATTAATTTGTGTGTGTGTGTGATGTCCATCCCATGTGCAAATTAGCATTACAAGTACCGTAATCTGTCTTATGTGAGAGTGTCCTTTCCCATGAGTATACACATGCTACTATAGCTTTGTATAGTTTAGAAGTCTGCTAACTCAGTGTTTTTCATTTGCTCACTTTACATGACATTTGTTTGTGGTGCTTGATGGAATAAATTGATATACCTGGCAAGATTCTAGAATAGTTTCTTTTTATGAAGTAGAAAGGCATATAATTTGAAAAACAAACACTCAAACAGTTGCTGATGGATAAGTTAGTTCTAATAAATAATGTTCTGAGTTGGTATCAGCTGAGAGACAAATAAAGGCATTTTAATACCCATCTTTATCAAAAACCTCACTGTCTAACTCTTACAAGGACTTTGAATTCTGAAAAGGTTTCAACTAGGAAAAGTTTCTAATTAACTATACCTGTTTTCCTGGCATTTAAAGTGATGTTTTAAACTCCTGAAAATATATTTCTAATTTTAATGCATAATAATTTTCCTGCACTTGTAGAATAAAGAATGCCAGTTGCTTTTACAGAATACCAACAATGATAAGCCTAATTCATAAGATTTTACTTTATATTAAAATATACATGTTTGCTCTCATAACTCTTTTGCAGACTCTAATAGATGGAACCAAGATATCTTTGTAGGGTCTCTTGCAGATCCCTTACATGTCTTTCACCTTCCACCACACAGTTTGCTGTGGAACTTACCCAGAAAACCTGTAGCTGTCCATGGGAGTTAGGCGCATTGATCTGAAAACCTCTTTCCTGCCCAAAGCAGGTAGCTGGATCTTCCCTGTTCAGTGAGCAGGGAGTCCACCATCAGCATGACCAAAGGCGAAAAAATCAGGCTCCAAAAGATTGCTAATTAGGACATAAATATAACTTGAGAGTACAGAATTTGTGAATTTAAAATAAATTATTTCTTTACTTTGTGGTCTGCCAATACATGAATGTCACCACTAATATTTGTATAAGTTCCTATTCTACTAAATGAGAGCAGCTATAGGAGAAATTGCAGTAAAGCTCTCAATATACTGAAGGGGAACATTAAGAAGGCAGTGGAAAATAGCAGGAACATGTGTCCATATCACCTGCTGTAGCGTTGATAACCATGATTTACATAAATCCTGTGAAATCTAGATTAGAGCATAACTGATTTTTAAATATTCTTGAATTTTAGATTTCTGCCATTTTCTTCATATCATAAAAATAAGAAGTATGAACCATCAATTCATAGATCAGGCAAATATGGCCAAGAAACCTATGGAATTAAACACTTCCGAGAAGTACAGCCTAAGAAGTGGGTAGCAGACAAGGTAAGTCACTGCAAAAATGAAAAAATAATTTACTCGTTTAGATTTTTATTGTATTAGAACTAAGTGAATTTGGGCCTGATCCAGAGATCACTGAATCCAATGGAATCTTTCTATCCTGTTATAAAATCACATAGAGCTGATGTGATGAATTGTCAGGCTTCTTCACCACTCTTTCTGGTAAGTTCAGTTTGAGGAAATTCAACATCTCTTCCACCTACAAGTTAAGGATTTAGAAGCCTGATTAAATATGACTTTGGTTATAAAAGTTTTCAAAAGTTTTGTTCTGTCTGTACTGCCTTTCCTGATTTAAGAGAAATTACATATTTACTCTTGCACATTAAAAGAAACCTTCAGAAAACTATGTGAAACCTAACTAAAAGCAACAAAATATTTCACTGCTTACGTTCTGTGGAAAATTCTAAAATCAGTGAAGAGCCGTTTTTATTGTGAGATAGCCTCCTTAAACTGCCTGCTTTGTTTTTTTCTCGTTTTGTAGTGCTCTAAGAGGTAATTTTTCTCAGAACATGTTTTAACACGAGTTTGTGTAATGTTTGCATTGCTTCTATTTGTATTAGGTATCATAATCCCATTAAAATTTCCCAGTACCAGAAGGATAATGGACTTGGTGGAGAGTGCAGCACAAAGCCAGTTAGAGGAGTGGAGCATCTTTTGTATGATGAGGGGCTGAGCATGCTGTAACTCCTTCAGAAGAGAATGCTCAGGGAGATCTGATCAGTGTGTATTAACACCTGATAAGAGGGAATGAAGAAGGAGCCAGACTCCTCTCAGACTCAGTATTGTCTAGTGACAGGATAAGGAGCAACACAAACTGAAATGCACGATATTCCATCTGAACATGAGAAAACACTGCTGGGGTTTTTTCACTGTGAGGGTGACAGAGCACCGGCACAGATTTCCCAAAGAGATTGTGGACTCTCCATCCTTGGAAGCATTCAGAACCCAACTGGGCATGTTCCTGGGCAACCTGCTGTACCTGATCAGGGGGTTGGGCTAGATGATGTCGAGAGGTCTCTTCCAGCCTAATCAAATCTGGGGTTTTGTAAGACATGATTGCTTATTTTCCTGAAAGTAACTTAACCTTTGTAGATACATAACAAGTTCCAAGGAATCTTAGTTTGAGAAGTAATTTTTTTTTACAAGATTTTTTTCTCAAACCTTTAAGATTTAGAAATGAGCTCAGAATAAAATTGTGGTACTTTAACACACATTAATTAAATCTCATGGCAAATAAAGGCACAAAGATCAAAGATCTGAATTTGTCTTTCAATAACAATGAGTGGAACATATGACTGGCTGAAGTACCGCAGCATAAATATGACCTATTAAAAAAGATTTAAAATCCTTATTGGTCATACTCATCCTGTCCTCTAAACCCTCTTCCAATCTTTAGCAGTTCTTGATCAGGCTCAGATGATTATATCAAACAATGTAATGATACTTATATTGCATATCATATCACATATATATATATTATGTAAATGATGGGCTTAGCTGAAACAACTAAACCCACTTGTGATCTTGGATAGATTTCAACCTAAATCTCTGGAGGTGAATAGCTCTCTGTGTTAACCCAACGTGACATACAGACTTCCAACCCCAATTCTAAATCAATATGAAGCTTCAATTAGGAGCTTCTTACCCAAACAGAGAGATAAGAGAAGAAAAGAGCTATTTATGACCTACCTGCTGCTTTAATGGGTCATTATTATTGGGAAAAAAAAAAAAAAACCACCGCAACAAAACACACACTCTCCACCCCCCCAAACCTCTACCTCCTCACTATATTTTAACCAAAAAGGTCTTATAGGCAGATGTAAGGTCATACTTTCATAACTGTTAAATTTGACAGTACTTTCTTGTTTCTGAACTGTAATAAAACTTTGTGTATATCAGTGCTGTGAAAAAAATTATCCTGTTGTAGTGAATCACCAGGCTAAAAAGCATGTATTAAAATATTACCTAAATGAAATCACAGATTTTTGCTCAGCACCTTGTCTGCTAAACAGAACTCTCCTTTGAGTTTCCCATGAGGTGATACCTTTGTTGATGCAACTCTATATTACAATCTGAATAGCTGATAACCCTGCCATGGGGTACATTCAGATTCTGACAGTAGTATACTAGAAAACATTCTCATATCATTGCTGGTACGACAAACTACTGCGTAAGTTATACAATTGTATACTTATACTTCATTAAAAATAAACAAGAAATGGAAATACTATTCTTCTAGTGAAACTGCATCTAGTTAGTTTACCAAGTTGTAAACCACTATGAAAATAAAAATGCTAGTGTATTTTATGTTTAATATCATATGTCTAAATACCTTGGAATGCCTTTGATAGAATTTGTGTGGGAAGTATCAATATAAAAAATTTACCAGTCACTATGAATTTAATCTACAGTGATAGATTCCAGTGTAACTGGACAGTCAAGGGATCAAATACACTAAATATAATATTTCTGTTGTCAAAACACTCACATATGTTCATATTTACTGAGGCAGAAATGATAGCATACAGCCTTTAGTCACTGTTGGAATTAGTTTGCATATGCATTTTAGGAAACTGACTTTAATGACAGCATTAAATGTTTTTGTATTTGCAAAATTCAGGAAGTGACATTTTAGGATGTTCCTTCTTGATAGATTCTTTCCTCTGATGCCTTATTATAGGTGAATTACAGTACAACTGCGTCACTGTTTCATTATTTGCACAGGCATTTTGGCCCTAAACAGAATTTTATTATCTACAAAGCATAAAAATACCCAGTACTGCAAAGAATTAATTTAGAGAACCTAAGCATATTGCACAGAACATAAAGTTGACCTTTACCGTCTACAGCTTTTGGAATGGAGTGGGATGTGGAACACATCATAGATTTAATGTGGCACAACGCTGTCTGCAGAAACTTGGGTGGGACTGTGACTGCCTGCCCATTGCACCCGATGATTGAATCTGCTGTCACCAGCATCCTGATAATAATGAACATTCAGCTTAACGACCGTGATTATGATTATCATAATTGATGTGCAAGTGCAGTGTGTGGGGATCATTACAGCTGAACTGTACAGCAGAGAAACATGCCTTAGTTATGGATAATTTTACTTTTATGCATTGATTGGGATAAAATATGCCTTTCAAGTTCAACAGGCCAGCTTAATATAATTTTAGGAAGATTTCTACATGTATGAATTGATGATTATGAGCTTCCTGCAAAACTCACTCTAGCTGTTTGTTTTGAGTTGTTTCATTCCATTAATAATGGAAAATAGTTAAATAATTAGATGTTGTCGAGTGGAAATCGCTTATAGAATACTGCCATCATTAATCAAATATTAAGTTCAAATATTTCTGATTGTCATGGCCTTGCCTAGGCTAGGAAAAATAGCCCTTGTAATTCACCCCCAACACAATTCTATTTTTGGTGAAGCATTAAAAATTGCACTGTAGTCAACATTACAGGCATTTTCACACTGTATTTTGTAGACATTGGAGCAGGCAATAGTTGGTCATTATATAAATTATCTCTCTTCCATCTTTGTCACCAGATGCAGAGAATTGCAGACTCAAATTCAGCCAGTGTAGATAAAGGCACGATCAACAGTTTCGGTCCATTTTCTTGGATAGTGATTGCCTTCAACTGAGATTATATGAAGTTGCATGAGTATTTAATTAAATCATGACATATATAACAGATAAACACCAGTGTGTGTATGTATTTTAATACAGAGTTTATATAAAGAATATTATGGCATAAGTATAATGTATAGAGTTTCATTGACTTACACTAGGTGTAAATGTGGCTCTTTGTCCAAGAACCTGCAGAAATATCCTATGGGGGTGGAGAGAGATAACAGACTATGGAAAAAAATCTTGATCTTTGACTTGCTTTCTGCATAAAGATGATTGTAAGGATCAAATATCTATGAATGTCTCAATTGCATAATTCCTCTCACATGACCACTAAGTTTGCACTTTCCATGATGAAAAGAAAGGAGAACCCCCTATGTGTACAAGGAATTAATATTATTTCATACAGTCTGCCTTTGGAAGTTTAATGGTCTCTGTGATTTTCATTGCTTGTATTATGCCCCAAATGGAATCACATTATCAGGTAAGGCCCTAATTTCCAGATATATGGGGAAAGGTTCACAAGGAGAACCTAATTTGACCTTAGAAAGTGCATGTGACTTTTCTAGTTGGGCATGACCATGGTCAACCCATTTTCTTCCACATTCTTCTGAGACCATTGTATCCTGTGGTTCCACAGCAAATTTATCTTTGTATAGTATTATTGTGGGGGAGAAATAAGGCAGGGAGGGAAGAAGTAATTTGTTCTGTTTGAAAATTAGTTTTATCCCTTGTAGAACAAACAACATACTCATAACAATCATGTGTCTTGTGGATGATGTCATTATGTAGCAGAATTGTTTGATACACTCTTCATGCTTTCCCATCCCTGACTATACCAAAATTTATTTAAATTTCACCTTAACTCTATTTTTCCTAACCTTGCAGTAATTGGAATTGAGACAGGTATAATGTATGTGTGAAGCTTTAAATTATTCTCTCTCAGATTTTGATTCCATGAGAATTTTTTAAAGGAATTTGCTTGTTTTCATTTTAATCCAGAAAAAAAGATTACACAGAATATTTTCTGATAAAGTGTGACATTGACTAATGAATGTGCCTCCATACTCTGAGCCTTATTACATGTTTTAAAGCTCTTAAGGCCATATTTACTAGTGTGCTTTGTGACAGAAGTTACTCATATACAACAAGGAAAGATAGCACGTATTTTGAATATCAGATTCTTAGTTCCCCAGCCCCACTGCAGTGTGTTTTCCTAGGTAATGCAGAGCTGATATAATGTGGCAGACAGAAGTAACTCTATTGTAGGGGAATTATTAGATGATCTGTAAAAGTTTGCTTGTTACACTACTGATTTCCTCATGAGCCATGTCATGGATAATAAGG